AACAAAATTTACACATTATATATATTAGATAAATTTATTTCGATGTAAATTTTTAAAATTGTATTGTTTCAAAAAAAAGAAATTGTTTAAAAAATTCTTTTTTATAAATTTTTTTATAATATTAATTTATGAAGCTATAAGTTTAGTTTTTAGCAAAATTTTCTTCAAAGTTGATATTATCTTTGCAAATTAAATTACACTAATATTTAATCAAGCTCTATTTATATTACTTTGTCTAAAAATGAAATACTAATCTAACAAACAATAAAATATAGAAGAAGAAACAAACACATGTTTGAAAAACATGTATCATATAGAAAATTTGAAACAATCTATTTGATTAAAACACTTATTATATAATATTATTATGTTTGAAAAACATTTACTATACATATCGTAAATATATGATTACTATAATATATACCAATTTACCAGTGAAAACAAAATGTTTATATAACTAATTATAAACGAAAACAAACACCCGCGCGGTTGCGCGGGACAAAATCTAGTAGAAACTTAAAAATTAAAAACCAAAATCTAAAACAAAATCTAAAAATAAAAACTGAAACTAAAAACTAATGAAAAACAATCATCACCACAAATTTTGGTGAACTGGTTTTATACCAAAAAGTTCTTTAAATTAAGACAAAAGCCAATTATATAAATTTTTTAGTCATAAAATTTTTCTGCCCAAAATCTAGTCAAGACCTTATGTAAAAGAAAAGTAAGTGTTTATTATACAAATTGATACGTCATGCTTCGATAAGATCGCAATCTCGAACCAACGTTGACATATATAAACGGTAAGATTGTTGATGTTTTAAGTTTTGATTGTTTTAATTTTACTTTGCAGAACCGAAGCGTGTATTATCATCGCACTCTCAAAGGCTTCTGAAAATTAGTTTTGCTTGTAATAAATAGAACAAAATTTTAATTATGGGCCGAAGGTAATTGGCCCACTAAGGATCACGAAAAGGGCGAAACCCTAGAGGAGAAAAGCATATACTCTTGGCATCTCGTTCATGACTATATATTAAGCTTCCGACTGCTTTAACGCCTCTTTGCACCTCTTTTCTCTCTTCCCTTCGTTCACCTCTAAGGTCAGTCCGTCTCTTCGATATTAAATGTCTCTTTATCCGATCTTTGATGTTTATTTGTATTCGATCTGCATAGTTTTAGATGAGCAATACCGTTGTTTGTCGTTCTTGATTGTTGCTGTGATTGCTACAGTTTTTATTGTTCTGTTACTCTTGTTTCTTAAGATCTGGTCTAAGAAATCATTTAAAGATGGATCTCTGACAAGATCTCAAACTACTTCTTGATTGTAAGCTTGATATTATACAAGTAATATTGTGAATCGGATGGTTTTTTTTTTGTTCTCTGGTATATCATATGGAAATTATACTCCACTGCTGCATTAGTCTATTTTGTGTAAAAGTTGTGCCGATATATTGTTGTATCTACGATTTTATTGCCTAGGATATAACTGAATTTATCAATAAGCCTGTTCTTACTGTCTTTTTAATCGTTTTATTTCATTTTGACTAATTCTTGTTTCTGTAATTGCAGAAATTTTGTAGGTGTCAAGTAAAATAATTCAAAATGGTAAGCCTTCGTGTTTCATTATATTTGAACTATATATCCCCTATTCCTGTTTTTGATTCCAAAGCTGAAAATATATTATTTTTATAAACTTGCAGGTGAAGTTCACAGCTGATGAGCTTCGTAGGATTATGGACTACAAACACAACATCCGTAATATGTCCGTTATTGCTCATGTCGACCATGGTACTTTCTTCATCCTTTATTTTTCAGTTCGAAGCTTTCTCTTTCAACATTAATTATTTACTGCTCTTTGAGGTGTTCTCTTTTGACACATGCTTAAGCTAATATCTAATTTTTATTTTTGTCCACAGGTAAATCCACCCTCACTGACTCCTTGGTTGCTGCTGCTGGTATCATTGCCCAAGAAGTTGCTGGTGATGTCCGTATGACTGATACGCGTGCTGATGAGGCTGAACGTGGTATCACTATCAAGTCCACCGGTATTTCTCTCTACTATGAGATGACTGATGCTTCCTTGAAGAGTTTCACTGGTGCCAGAGATGGAAACGAGTACCTTATCAATCTCATTGACTCTCCTGGGCACGTTGACTTTTCTTCTGAGGTCACTGCTGCTCTCCGTATTACCGATGGTGCTCTTGTGGTGGTCGACTGTATCGAGGGTGTCTGTGTGCAGACCGAGACTGTGCTACGTCAGGCTCTTGGTGAGAGGATTAGGCCTGTTCTGACCGTGAACAAGATGGACAGGTGTTTCCTTGAGCTTCAGGTTGACGGTGAGGAGGCTTACCAGACTTTCCAGAGGGTCATTGAGAATGCTAATGTCATCATGGCTACGTATGAGGATCCTCTCCTTGGTGATGTTCAGGTTTACCCTGAGAAGGGTACCGTTGCCTTCTCTGCTGGTCTCCACGGATGGGCTTTCACTCTGACCAACTTCGCTAAGATGTACGCTTCCAAGTTTGGTGTTGATGAAACTAAAATGATGGAGAGGCTTTGGGGTGAGAATTTCTTTGACCCTGCCACCAGGAAGTGGAGCAGCAAAAACACTGGTTCCGCCACTTGCAAGCGTGGGTTTGTTCAGTTCTGTTATGAGCCCATCAAGCAAATCATTGCCACTTGCATGAACGACCAGAAGGACAAGTTGTGGCCTATGTTGCAAAAGCTTGGTGTCCAGATGAAGTCTGATGAGAAGGAGCTCATGGGTAAACCTTTGATGAAGCGTGTCATGCAGACATGGCTCCCCGCAAGTACTGCACTACTTGAGATGATGATCTTTCACCTTCCTTCTCCCCATACGGCACAGAGGTACCGTGTTGAGAACTTGTATGAAGGTCCCCTCGATGATCAGTATGCCACTGCCATCAGAAACTGTGATCCTAATGGTCCTCTCATGCTCTACGTTTCTAAGATGATTCCCGCCTCAGACAAGGGTAGATTCTTTGCCTTTGGTCGTGTCTTTGCTGGTAAAGTGTCTACTGGTATGAAGGTCAGGATTATGGGTCCCAACTTTGTTCCTGGTGAGAAGAAAGACCTGTACGTCAAGAGTGTCCAGAGAACTGTCATCTGGATGGGTAAGAGGCAAGAGACTGTTGAGGATGTCCCCTGTGGTAACACTGTTGCTATGGTTGGTCTTGATCAGTTCATCACCAAGAATGCTACCCTAACCAATGAGAAAGAAGTTGATGCCCACCCTATCCGTGCCATGAAGTTTTCCGTCTCCCCTGTTGTCCGTGTTGCTGTTCAGTGCAAGGTGGCTTCTGACCTTCCCAAACTTGTTGAAGGACTCAAGAGGCTTGCCAAGTCAGACCCTATGGTTGTGTGCACAATGGAAGAGTCAGGTGAGCACATCGTTGCTGGTGCTGGAGAACTCCATCTTGAGATTTGTCTCAAGGATCTTCAGGATGATTTCATGGGTGGTGCTGAGATCGTTAAGTCAGACCCTGTGGTCTCCTTCCGTGAGACTGTCCTGGAGAGATCCGTCCGTACTGTGATGAGCAAGTCTCCTAACAAGCATAACCGTCTTTACATGGAGGCCAGACCCTTGGAAGACGGTCTAGCAGAGGCAATTGATGAAGGCCGTATTGGCCCAAGAGATGACCCTAAGATCCGATCCAAGATCTTGGCAGAGGAGTTCGGCTGGGACAAGGATCTTGCAAAGAAGATCTGGGCGTTCGGACCTGAAACCACAGGCCCCAACATGGTTGTTGACATGTGTAAGGGAGTGCAGTACCTTAATGAAATCAAGGATTCAGTTGTTGCTGGGTTCCAGTGGGCGTCCAAGGAAGGTCCTCTGTGTGATGAGAACATGAGAGGAATCTGCTTTGAGGTTTGTGATGTGGTCCTCCATTCTGATGCTATCCACAGAGGTGGTGGTCAGGTTATCCCTACAGCGAGGAGGGTTATCTACGCCTCCCAGCTCACTGCCAAGCCCAGATTGTTGGAGCCGGTTTACATGGTTGAGATCCAAGCACCAGAGGGAGCTCTTGGAGGAATCTACAGTGTTCTGAATCAGAAGCGTGGACACGTGTTTGAGGAGATGCAGAGGCCAGGAACGCCCTTGTACAACATCAAGGCGTACTTGCCGGTCGTGGAGTCATTTGGATTCTCGAGTCAGCTTAGGGCTGCAACCTCAGGACAGGCCTTCCCTCAGTGTGTGTTTGATCATTGGGAGATGATGTCGTCTGATCCTCTGGAGGCAGGATCTCAAGCTTCAACGTTGGTTGCTGATATCAGGAAGAGGAAGGGTATGAAGGAGCAGATGACTCCACTGTCTGACTTCGAAGACAAGCTGTAATCAGCATCTCCTCGTTTGTCTCATTCGCTACTCTTGGTCACGTTTGACCTCACTTTGCTGTATTTTTGGTTTTTGTTATTTGTTTTTACTATTTTGGTGTTTTGATGACTTTCATCTCTCTCCCCTCCCCTCAATGTTGTTTTTGGCCCTTAGTTGAGAACTCCTTTGTTTATGTCTTCGCATATATTTTACTCTTGCACCTCTTTTCTTCTGTTTTCTGTTTAGATTATTTAAACTCATATGTGCTATTTGGATTCTTGAGATGGTCGTATCCATGCTAGGTCGTTAGGGTTATACTTACAGGGGAATATAGATGTCTTAGATTATTGTTGTTTCAATTTTGTTATTGAAATCGTCGAACACGGTAAACACAGTGAGATTGAACTATGGAAGAATACG